AAAAAAACGACCATGTATAGTAAGGCGTTTTTAGCCGAAAAAAAACGACCATGTATAGTAAGGCGTTTTTAAACGAAAAAAACGACCATGAATAGTAAGGCGTTTTCACCCGAAAAAAACGACCATGTATAGTAAGGCGTTTTTAGCCGAAAAAAAACGACCATGTATAGTAAGGCTTTTTAATACGAAAAAAACGACCCTGTATCGTAAGGCGTTTTAGCCGAAAAAAACGACCTTGTATAGTAAGGCTTTTTAACCCGAAAAAAACAACCATGTTTCGTAAGGCGTTTTTAGCCAAAAAAAATGACCACGTATAGTAAGGCGTTTTCAGCCGAAAAAAAACGACCATGTATCGTAAGGTGTTTTTAGCCGGAAAAAAAACGACCACGTATAGTAAGGCGTTTTCAGCTGAAAAAAACGACCATGTATGGTAAGGCGTTTTTAGGCGAAAAAAATGACCATGTATAGTAAGGCGTTTTCTGCCGATGATCAGTTCATCAGCAAGCTCTATCGGAGCCTGATATTGATCCTGATCATTTGAATCAGGTGTGTTGCAGCAGGGAGGGGATGTATAGGAAGGCGTTTTAACCCGAAAAAAAATAACCATGTATAGTCAGGCGTTTTTAGACAAAAAAAAAAGCATGTATAGTCAGGGGTTTTAACCCGAAAAAAACGACCATGTATAGTAAGGTATTTTTAGCCGAAAAAAACGACCATGTAGAGTAAGGCGTTTTTAGACGAAAAAAACGACCATGTATAGTAAGGTATTTTTAGCCGAAAAAAACGACCATGTAGAGTAAGGCGTTTTTAGACGAAAAAAACGACCATGTATAGTAAGGTATTTTTAGCCGAAAAAAACGACCATGTAGAGTAAGGCGTTTTTAGACGAAAAAAACGACCATGTATAGTAAGGTATTTTTAGCCGAAAAAAACGACCATGTAGAGTAAGGCGTTTTTAGACGAAAAAAACGACCATGTATAGTAAGGTATTTTTAGCCGAAAAAAACGACCATGTAGAGTAAGGCGTTTTTAGACGAAAAAAACGACCATGTATAGTAAGGTATTTTTAGCCGAAAAAAACGACCATGTAGAGTAAGGCGTTTTTAGACGAAAAAAACGACCATGTATAGTAAGGTATTTTTAGCCGAAAAAAACGACCATGTAGAGTAAGGCGTTTTTAGACGAAAAAAACGACCATGTATAGTAAGGTATTTTTAGCCGAAAAAAACGACCATGTAGAGTAAGGCGTTTTTAGACGAAAAAAACGACCATGTATAGTAAGGTATTTTTAGCCGAAAAAAACGACCATGTAGAGTAAGGCGTTTTTAGACGAAAAAAACGACCATGTATAGTAAGGTATTTTTAGCCGAAAAAAACGACCATGTAGAGTAAGGCGTTTTTAGACGAAAAAAACGACCATGTATAGTAAGGTATTTTTAGCCGAAAAAAACGACCATGTAGAGTAAGGCGTTTTTAGACGAAAAAAACGACCATGTATAGTAAGGTATTTTTAGCCGAAAAAAACGACCATGTAGAGTAAGGCGTTTTTAGACGAAAAAAACGACCATGTATAGTAAGGTATTTTTAGCCGAAAAAAACGACCATGTAGAGTAAGGCGTTTTTAGACGAAAAAAACGACCATGTATAGTAAGGTATTTTTAGCCGAAAAAAACGACCATGTAGAGTAAGGCGTTTTTAGACGAAAAAAACGACCATGTATAGTAAGGTATTTTTAGCCGAAAAAAACGACCATGTAGAGTAAGGCGTTTTTAGACGAAAAAAACGACCATGTATAGTAAGGTATTTTTAGCCGAAAAAAACGACCATGTAGAGTAAGGCGTTTTTAGACGAAAAAAACGACCATGTATAGTAAGGTATTTTTAGCCGAAAAAAACGACCATGTAGAGTAAGGCGTTTTTAGACGAAAAAAACGACCATGTATAGTAAGGTATTTTTAGCCGAAAAAAACGACCATGTAGAGTAAGGCGTTTTTAGACGAAAAAAACGACCATGTATAGTAAGGTATTTTTAGCCGAAAAAAACGACCATGTAGAGTAAGGCGTTTTTAGACGAAAAAAACGACCATGTATAGTAAGGTATTTTTAGCCGAAAAAAACGACCATGTAGAGTAAGGCGTTTTTAGACGAAAAAAACGACCATGTATAGTAAGGTATTTTTAGCCGAAAAAAACGACCATGTAGAGTAAGGCGTTTTTAGACGAAAAAAACGACCATGTATAGTAAGGTATTTTTAGCCGAAAAAAACGACCATGTAGAGTAAGGCGTTTTTAGACGAAAAAAACGACCATGTATAGTAAGGTATTTTTAGCCGAAAAAAACGACCATGTAGAGTAAGGCGTTTTTAGACGAAAAA